GCCGATAAGAGGAGACGACCTTTATCTTTTGAAGTTGGTGACCATGTGTTTCTAAAAATCTCACCAAGGCAGAGTTTAATGAGATTTGGTAAGAGTGGTAAATTATCTCCAAGGTTCATTGAGCCTTTTGAGGTTTTAGAGCGAATTGGGGAAGTGGCATACCGATTAGCTTTACTGCCACAACTTTCAGGAGTTCACAACGTATTTCATGTAGCTATGCTTAGGAAGTATGAACTCAACCCTTCTCATGTGCTTGATTGGGCTGACTTGGAGGTAGATGAGGATGCCTCTTACGAAGAATGACCGGTTCAAATATTAGATACCCGAGAGCAAGTGCTACATAGCAAAACTATACCGTTGGTAAAGGTGTTGTGGAGACACCATGGGGTTGAAGAAGCGACGTTGGAACGGGAGGCGGAAGTCCGCTCCAAATATCTGAATTTGTTTAAAAATGCTTAAGTTGCTTTTCTTTGTAATATTCCCTAGTGTTGAAGGAAACATATTTAAAGTTGTTAACCACATGTTGTTATGTGCGTTGTTGTTTTAAGCATAAGGTTGTTAAGAGTTGCCATTACTTTTTGGAAAATTTAATGTTTATGCATATTTGAGAGGTTGTTGTTAATGAGATAACCATGGTGGAAATGATGGAATTTGGTTGAGAGTTAGTATTGTGATTTGAAAATGAAATAGCGTGGTTTTGATCACTAGAAACCCCTTTGTTTGGGTAGTTTAATTTGAAATTTCGGGGACAAAATTCTTGAAGGGGGGAAGGTTGTAGCGATCCCAGTTTTGCTACTTCACTAAGTATGTCAGGGATCGAGCTGCCCAGTCAGCTCGCAAGGGTCCAGGGGGCAACGCCTCTTTGCGAGTCCTAGGGCAGCGCCCTGGCGGGGTTGAGGGGCAGTGCCCTCAAAACAAAAATGCAAAATGCATTAGAAGTTGCTTGTCCACTCAAGCGGCCGTTTATGCGCTCGAGCAAAGAATGTTTGGTTCTAGAAGTTTGACCTGTCTGTAAAAGTACTGGGAAAGTGTATTTGACGCTCAAGCGAGGCTTTTCACGCTCGAGTGGACCATGTTATATCAGTTCATGAATCTGATATTTCAGATCACTTTTGTGTATCTCTCTCTCTAAAAGCCCTTTCCTCTCCCTTCTCTCTACATTTCCCTACGCCAAATTGGATCAAAACCTCGATTTCTCAAGATCCATTAGAGTTCTGCCGTATGTTCTTCATCAATGTTGGTTAACTTCTCGAGGGCTTCATTGTGTACGGTGAAGATCGAGTTTCGACACCGTTGATTTTAAGGGTTTCATCTTATTTCTTCTTCAAAACTTGAGGTAGGGATTTTCTTAGAGTTATATATATATTTTTGCAAGATCTATATGATTTTCGAAATCATCTTTCGATAGCTTTGAAAATTGACTATTGATTCAAGAAGTTGAGCGATTTTGAAATTGGGTTTGTCTTTTGTTCTTTTAAAATGATCTTATGGGTTTTGATTTTCGTTGATTGAAGAAAATATGATTTTGGAAAGTTTTCTTACAAAAGATTTGAGTTGTATAGTTTTTGTGAGAAAATCTAGAATTTAGGAAATTTTTTTAAAGGAGACTGAAAATCCATGAATGATATTGTTATATTTATTTTGTGTGTCAAAATAAATAGATGTTTGAAAATTTTCTTATTTATATTTATATAAATGATGAATTTTAGGGAATATGAGAATTATTATTCATTTTGGAGATTATTGTTCAAAACGTTGAAATAGTCTTTAAATAGCTAATTGTTGAGGATACTTGAGAAGAGGGAATTGTGTTATTTTCTTGGATGATGAATTGGAATAAAAGTATTTATATTCATCTTGTAAAATTGGCATATCAATTCATTTGATTACATTAAATTTTGAAAGTTGATTTGAAAACTTGCATTGAGAAAAGAATGTTGAGAAACAAGTTTTCATGAAATGGTTTTGGGGTAAATACATTAGTAAGTCTTGATAAGTAGTGTAGATATTGAATAAGTTGGCTTAAGAGCCTAGGGTGAAAGACCGAAAATTCGCCCGGATAGGTGTCTAGCCTTCCGGTTAATGTTGGTAAAAATGACAATTTGGTAGTACTTGTATGGTTTACTTGCAGATACCGACCTAGGGATTACCAGAGTCGTATTTACCGCCCTTGAAATAAATTATTAATTTTTGAACAATTGAAATTGCATGATATCATTGAGCATGATGGTTTTCAAAAGATGAAAATGTGATTTATCTTCAAAAAGGGCATAGCATGGCATGTGCTTTTTATCTCTTGAGACTTGTATAAAATGCATATATTTTGTTGAGAATTTCTTACTGGGCTTTATGCCCACCCCTATGGGATTTTTGTGCAGGAAAAGATGTAGTGATCCCACCCAACTTGGGGCGTAGAAGTATGTGTGTTGGGAGTACAATACTCTCATTTTGCTGTGACTCTGTGTGTAAGCCAAGGGCTGTATTTGTGTGGGTTTGAATAATCGTTTTGTGTAGCAGGCTCAAGCCTTGGAAATTTGTAAACCCTTGGGGGTATTTATTTGTTTATTTACTTATTGTTGGATTAATGTGTTGTTGCATGAAGAACTATTGTATCATATAATGTAAATTTGGAAATTTATATTCAGTTTTTCTTGAAAGAGTCATGATTGTTGTATTATCATTTGGGCTAGAAATTTGGAGCGTTACATTAAGCCTGTCCACTTTCGTTGTCCTCACATGTTGGCCAGTGGACACCTTACCACATTCCCACATTTGTTGCCCTCACACGAACCGGGTAGGTGGACACCTCAAACACAATCTCACATTCGTCGTCCTCACACGAACTAGTAAGTAGGCACCTCAAACACATTTCATAACATTTGTATTTTTCACACAATACCAACAATCATGAGGATTCTCCAATTTTACTTATCCATCATTCATTTCATCAATTTCATAAACAATCCCTTTAGAGTTCAAATGAAAATTTGGAATTTTCCCACACTAAGGTTTATTTTCCTTAATTCAAGTATTTCTTAATCCACCATCAATTTTACAAAAACACATCATCTACAAAGCTCATGCGTTTATATATATATATATATATATATATATGTATGTATCACATCTATCTCCATAGATTAACACCCTTTAAGATTTACACACATTCAAACCAAAATGAAGATATACAAGGGTAAAGACATTCCTACCTCAAAGTTGTGTGACGAAAAATGAAGGCCTACCTGACGAGCTTTTGGGATACCACGTTTTAATTGGTTCGAAGCGTAGCTCTTGGAGAGGAGAATGACTTTAATGAAAGAACTAAGATGGATTCTTGTTAAATGTAGATGAAATCTAGTGTTTTAGCCCTAGGGTTTTCAAAAAAAGGGAAAAGAAAGAGAGAAAAGATGAAAAAGTGAATCAAAAGTGTGTTTTGATCATGTTTTAAATCTGCTGTCCTGACTTGATCGTTCGAGCGAAGCTTCCATCGCTTGAGCAAAGAACCAAAATGCAAAGGGATCGCTTGAGTGAACTTTCCACCGCTCGAGTGGTAAACGCAAGGTCTTAAAAGTTTTGCAGAGTTACAGTGAAAATACTGAGAGCTCATATTTTACGCTTGAGCAACAATTCCTTCGCTTGAGCGGTCGCGCATGTAAACCTACGAGATACTGGGAGCAACAATTTTTCGCTCGAGCGACAACACCTTCACTTAAGCGGTCACTTAAAGTTAGTTGTTACAATAAAATTTATCATTTATTATTTAAATTCTTCAGCTTAGTATATATTAATTTATTGCTTAGTTGTATTTTAGATATAGATCAATTTACTCATACAAGTCTCTATACTTTGTATATATATTACATACCAATTTAATAAATACGCATAATTACAGTATTAATAGTTGATGAAAAATTATGTTTCACGTGTAATGCACGTGCCCAACCACTAATATTAATAAAAGGTACATAAAAACAATCACAAAATGCAAAGAACTAAGCCACTATCATAAAATCCTAATAGCATGAGAACAACCAATATCAAATATCAAAAGGAAGAATAGCAGACCCATTAGCAACACAACCAGTTAAGCACAAGTGGAACAAAGCATTAGGTTTCTTCTCTGTGAGATTCAAAAATGACTTGGCTTCTTGTAACCTATCCACGATAACAAGCCTCCTTTTGTACTTTTTCCACACACCATATAAATACACATGGTACATTATCATTGGTGGTTGAATTCTAAAATTTTAATTAATTTCTTGATTAAAATGGAAAAACTTTTTAATTTATATATTATTTATGGCTATGGCATCTATTATCAATGCTATATATATCCATTTTAAATTTAATTTTTTATATAGAAAGTCAAAAAAAGTTTTAGCCATACCAATACCTAACTTGAAATTTAAAAATCTTTTTTAAAAAATCCAAATATAATTTTACTTTGGAAAATGATGATTGTCCTTCAGCTGGTGAAGAAGCCGCTATCTATTCCCAATTTTTTATTTTTTTATTTTTTATTTTTTATTTTTTCACAAAATGAATATGCAGATAAACTACTCTAACATATCCACTAGAAAATATTATCCTTTAACACCTATAACATATTTGCAGAGAACCCCACCGCACCTACGTCAAGACTGAAACTTAAGCATTCTCCAAGCACTAAAGAATATATTTAACCCCAACTACGAGTTATAAAAACTCGAACCCAAACCTTGAGCCAGGAATTTAAAAGTCTTATCCATTCCCATTTATTACTACTCCCCCTCTCCGCCTTCTCATCGCGAGTAAATTCAAAGATTTCAAACCCCAGATAATAAAACAAGGGTAAAAAGAATGTAAATTGTCTTGTGAATGGTAAAAGTAATTGTCCTTGCATTTCTTGTCATATCATTTGCACACTGGTAATGCCCACCAATTTAACCCTTCCACAAATTCCATCACACCAACAACCTTTTCTTAACAATAAGTAAACATGAACAATCAGTCAAATTGCTTCCCACAACATCTGATAATCTGCTGCATGTAAATCCTCTTCCATCAGGAATGGAAATAATAGTAAGCTAGACCAAGCTCAGTTTTAACATTTATATATAATAATAATACTAAACGGGCCATTCCCCCCAGTCCTAGTCACTGGTACAGGAAGGTCCTACAGGGTACAAACCGAACTTTTATAGCATAGTAAATTGTTATGGATTCGTTCGATTTTTTATCAATCAAGTTAGAGCCAGTCAAACTTGGGATAATGTGGGAAGTCCAAAAGAAACAAACTGTCACTCAGCCATGTAGGTATAATCAAAGGCAGCGTAATTTCAATCCTTCATCAAACAGTAATCATGAAGATGTACTAAGCAATTTCTAGTGCCATCACAGAACCCATCTCTCCAAAAACTCAAATTTATCTTCATAAAGACAAAGGACAAGCAATTTCCAGATTCTTCATTCCAGCTGCAGCTAGTACCGATCATAACGCCTGAGAAAAGATAGGCAATTATTACAGATCAATCAAAATATATTGCAATATGCGTAACAACATATGTAGATAAAGGACACAATAATGAAAATGTAAGTGATTGAAATTTATAGTAAATACCCAGAGGATGTCTACTTTCTCAATGCAAAATGTTGGAAAACAGGTGGTTCAATAAGGGAACCAAAACATAATGAAATAAACTACTTGAGCTCGGCTCAATTAAAATCTTGTTCGAGATCAGATTATTATGTAAACAAGCCAAGTTGGAACACATTTTAAAGCTCGTTATGTAAATAAGTCAAATTAGAACAACCTATTACTCAGCTCAATAAGCTTCTATGGATAACAAAAAAAATAAACTACTCGAGCTCGGCTCAATTAAAACTTGTTTAAGATGGAATCAAATGCTAAACAAGCCAAGCTTGAACATATCATGACGCTTGTTAAATTTTTCAGCCAAGCTTGAATAATATATTTCTTGACTCGGCTATTTTACAGCCCTAGATGCATCTAAATATCTAATAACAATTGATAAACAAGAAGTACCTGTGGCGATCATAGTCCCTGGAACGTTCTCTTGACCGTGAACGTGACCTCCGACGACTCCTTGAATCATAGTTGCGGGCCCGATCTCTTTCTCTATCTCGCTCTCGATCATACCCATGATCACGATCATAATACCTATCACGATCTCTGCTCCTACGATCATTGTCCCTCCCCTCTTCACGGCTATCTCCATGGTCTCGATCCCTGCTCGCTTCCCTATCATGCTCTCGGCTTCGCTCTTTTGATCTGTACGATAACAAGAATTATATGACTTCACCAATAAAATTTCTGACTCTCAAACAAAGAATAGAATAATAATGACCCCACCCACCCGCACTACACAGGGAAAAAGGTTTGAAAGCCTACACCATTTTAAAATACAGAAGGGGGGGGGAGGGGTTGTTGTGGTTGGGGGAATGAACTAAGATTACCTTCTCTCATCGTCATGGGCCTTCCTTTTATTGTTTCTCTCTTCCTGACAAATTAATTAAGAAAGTACTATTGAAACATCTCTACAACAGTTTCCACTTCATCCAACTAGAGATATTATAAAGCAAAATAGATACCACAAAAATAGCACACTACCATAGACCATATGAGCTTGACATCAATAAGCATAGTCAATATGAGTATGTTCAACTCAAGGTTGTTAAGATCGGGATCTTACACAGGATTGTTTTGGGGGTCTGCCAGATCGAATGGAGGATCACAAGATCCTACTACAATGATAAAAAAACACTATAACTTTTGTATGACTTAAGTAATACTATCAAAATGTATATAGAATGAACCCCTCAAAAAAAGAAACATAGCAATTCAAAGTAGCATTCAAACCTTGTTTCAGCAAAGAATTGGTATAGAGTTGTGCTGAACAAAATTTGTGGTTCAAATTAAAATAATTTTTTCCCAACGAAGTTTAGGGAAAAAGAACCAAAGAAGAGCAGCAGCAGCAGCAAAGAACCAAGAAAAATGAAGAAAAAGGTAGGAAAAATGAAGAAACAGGAGAAAGAAAAAGTGATACTAAGTTCTTGTCAAATGTTTCAATCAAAGTTCTAGTTTTCATATGTTTGCTTTGATCAGGAACAGAAACAGAACAGACAAAAAAATAAAATCAAAAATATACAGAGAAGAATAGTCGAACTACAGAACAGAGATGAGAGAAGAGGAACAAAGAAGTCAGGAGAAGAAAAATGGTGATTCAAACTACAGAGAAGAATCGTACACAGAAGAAGAAGAAGAAGAAGAAGAAGAGCAGCGAAGAAAAAGAAGAGCAGCAGCGAAGAAGAAGAAGAAGAAGAAACGAACAAGAAGACAAAAAAAAGCAAAAAAATAATACAAAGAAGGAAGATTCGAAGAAGGATACCTGGTTCCACAAAATCTGAAGCTTTGATGTCCAATTTCTCTTTCCCCAATTTGTATTGCCCTAATCGCAGCTAAGAGGGTCAATTTTTCTTCTTTTATCTCGATAAAGGGTTGTTTGCTTTAAAGTTGGCAAAAAAAAACCATATAAATCAGGATCGCATGGAATCGCGATCCCAATACGATCCTACCGATCCTAATATGATCCTACCACAATCCTGACATGGGCCCGATCCAAAATATGAGTTGGATCGAATGCTATATATATTGGATCGTAGGATCGTACAATCCTACAATCCGGATCGTGATCTTAACAACCTCGGTTCAACTCCCTTCCAAGAACCACTCCAATGATGTCCATGTAATAAACACAAATGTAAATAACAAAAGTCACAAGTTAATTGAGTTTCCTTTGTTTTCCACCTTTTTTACAATTTATCCACAAAAAATAGATCCAAGGTTACAATAGTGAAGTCCTCAGATTTTATGGTGTTGAATGGACCAATCTAACTCCACAGGAAAAAAATAATAATAATTCCCATGTTACACAACGCTAGTGAGGCTGGAATATCAAGATTAAAAATCCAACAGTAACTGTATTTTTATCTACCAATACCTTTAAATAACATGATACAGGTGCATGTCTCATGCATGCATCTAAAATCCCTAAAAATAGAAGATAGACAAAAACCTCCTTAGATTTCAGGAAGCTGAGGAAAATGAATCAAGACAAGTCCAATGAAGATGGAATGAGATTAGGTACACCTTTAAATGTCAAAACAGAAAGTCAAAAAATTGATACCATAGCTAGTTTGAGCACAGGGAATAAGAGAAGTAAGAAAATTGACCACCAGAATAAGACATATAAATAATCAAGGACACTTATTGACTAATGAAACTTTCATTCAATAAGAAACTTCAAAAGTTATATGCTAATACAAAACCCTGACATGACCTGCAATCTGGAGTTGTTCACCTTAGAAGTAGTTAAAATTCTCTGGAGCTAGATAAATTTGGTTTTTTATTTTTATTTTTCCTTTTCATGGTAAATAAACAATAGCAGTTTAAATATTTTCAAAAATCGCGAATTGCACTAACAGTTCCTATAGTTTGGGGGTTGTGTCACTTTGGTCCCTGAATTTTTAATTGAGACACATTTGACCTTGAATTTTGAATATTATTCTAAATAAAGACAATTGAAGATGTCATTGCTTAATTTCAATAGCAAAATCGTCAATTTGATAAAATATAAACTAATTTAAAAAATAAATATCAAAAAAATATTTTTGAATTTTTAAAAATTATTCTACCCACTTAAGATAAAATATGTAAAATTGATAAATCTTTTAAACATTTTTTTTTTTTTTACCAAATTAATTTTTATTATGTGTTTGAATGATGATCATGTAATGGGTGATTGTTTTCATTTTCATTAAATTAGTTTCTATTTTTTCAAAAGTCAAATATAGCGACAATTTTGATATCATTATTAAATCAATCCATTAAATCAAAAAAATTCAAAACTAAAAACATTTCATATATTAAATATACCGATTACACATTAAAATCTTAACAATCACCCATTACATATTCATCATTTAAACACATAATAAAAATTAATTTAGTAAAAATAAATAAATAAATAAATGTCTAAAAAATTTATCAATTTTTCTAATTTTATCTGTGGTAGGTAGACATAATTTTTAAAAATTCAAAAATATTTTTCGATATTTATTTTTGTCAAATTAGTTTATATTTTATCAAATTGACGATTTTGCCCTTAAAATTAAGTAATGGTACCTTCAATTGTCCTTGTTTGGAACTAGATTCAAAATTCAAGGTCAAATGTATTACAATTGAAAAGTTAGGACCAAAGTGACACAAGTCCCAAATTATAGGGGACTGTTAATGTAATTTCACCCTTTCCAAAAATAAAATAAAATAAAATAAAAACAAGTTGTAAGCTACAAGGCACTACCGTCTAGGGGTGTGCGCGGTGCGGGTCGGTGCGGTTTGAGAGAAAAATAGAAACCGTATGGCGGGTGGCAGATTGATAAAAGTGTCACTAGAATTTGCCATTTTCCTTACCGAGACAGTAGCAGACCCATTTTTTTGGTTTTGTTTTAGTTGGGACACCCCATTGACCCATTTTATGATCCATTCAAGTGCACCCACTCATCCTCCATTATCTCCACTCACCCTCAACTATCAAAAGAGGTTTTGGCCTTGTCATAAAGAATGAATCAAAAGCAACAAAGTCTTGATCATCGTTATCATCCTTGTCATTCCCATCACCTTTGTCTTCCACTTTGTCCCCCATTCTTGAATTTTTTATTCCTTCATGGCTTATACATTCAGATTGTATATTAAAAAGGGAGATAATGGAATGGAGGAAAAAAAATCTTTCGAGAGAGTTAGAGAGAAAAGAGAGTAAAAAAGGAAAAGTTGTCTAAATTGCAACCTTGAGCCAAAACACTTCTAAGTTTCCATAGCTAATGAAATTCCTCATTTCCATACACCAAAACCACTCCAAAAATTATAATACCAAAGATCAATTGCCTTGATCATAAGGAAGAGTGTTTAGTGATTGAAAGTGAGAAAAACTAGAGAGTTAGCCACTCTCCATACCACAAACTCCATAATTTTGAATTGAGGATTTGAGAACACACTTCCTACACTTGAGGGTGATCAAGAGGAAGTTTGGAAATCAAGAAGTTCAATCTTTCTTTGGAATGTAAATTTTTAGTCTTTCATTTTCTTATATTTTATATCTCATATTTATTTTCTTGCTTCTTATTTCATAGTGTTTTGTTATAATCCAAGTGGTTTGTTTATCTCATATTTATTTTCTTACTTTATATTTCATAGTGTGTTGTTGTAATCTAAGTGGTTTGTTTAACCATAATTATTTATTTATTTGTTTTTGTTCACCTGCTTTAATTTCATATTAGTTTTGTTGTAATCTTGCATGTTCTACCTCATATTTGCTTTTTTTATTTTAGGTTCATGTTAGTTGTGTTGTAATCTTGCATGTTCTATATTATATTTGTTTTTTGTTTTAGTTTCATAGTAATTATGTTGTAATCTTACATTTCCTAGTTTACATTTTTCTCGTATTAGTCTCATATTAGTTTTGTTGTAATTTTGTATGTTCTACCACATATTTTTTTTTTTTTTAGGTTCATGTTAGTTTTGTTGTAATCTTTCATGTTCTATCTTATATTTGTTTTCTTACTTTAGTTTCGTAATAATTATGTTGTAATCTTATATTTCCTAGCTTATATTTTTCTTGTATTAGTCTCATATTAGTTTTGTTGTAATCTTGCATGTTCTACCTTATATTTGTTTTCTTGTTTTAGATTCATGTTAGTTTTGTTATAAGTTTGCACCTTTTTTATTTTATATTTGTTTTCTTGTTTTTAATCTAACCGGTAGTGGTTAGTTGAGCCACATACATATTTATTGTTTGTTTCTTTTCTTGGTTTTGCAATAAGACAAGTTTTGCTAGGCCTAGTTGGTCGGCCAGCCTATTTGGCCGGCCGGTTAGCTTCTTTTGGACAAGACGGCGTTGTCTTCCGATGTTAACCAACTTCCGGTGGTTTCCAAGGCACGTGAACCTTTATTTTCTTTTGTTTATTTTATTTTGAGTGTACTGTGAGGTTTTTATTTTGTTGCAATATTCTCCTCACCCCCCCTCTAATTTGATTTGTAATAATTTATTCAAAGTGTTGTAATAATTTCCCGCCCCACTTCTTTCTATCCCGTTCTTTTACTTGCTTTCCTTATTTGTAAATATGCATCATGTTTATTTTATTTTATTTTTTGTTTGTTATATCCATGTTTTGCATCTATGTTTCATGCATCTTGATTCGGCGTGTTCCAATTTAGGTGATTTGGTCTATACTTGTTTGCTGCGCGCATAACATAGTAATTCTAGGCTAATAAATGGAATAAAAACACATAACGTTTTCAAAATTGGATATTATGGTTAGTAGAGGCCGATCTTCGGATCGGGCGAGAGGGGGTGCTCATAGCTGACCTTCCCCAATCGTACCCAAGTTCCCGAGCCGAGGCAACTTTGGTGATGACGGACACGTGGCCTTTGGCACCGAGTCAGGGTTTCCTAAATTCCCCCAAAATAAAATATTTAGGTGGCGACTCTGTATCTGGCAAAGCAGTCCATGTTTGGCACTTCTTTCAAAATCTGTTTTCTCAAAACGATTTGCCGGATTTGGACTCTTTGGTTCAAGATTAAGAACTGTGACACAAATCGAGTCCGAACTGTAGCGGGGTCCCACGCGGGCACGTCTACAGTCGCTTAATTTGGAATAGTGTTGATTTTCATGTTTGTAAACTCAATTTATTTGGGTTGTATATCTCCAAAACTCTTTCAAAACTAGATGAAATCAAATTGTTCTAAAATAAATGACATTAGTCTATACTTGTATGTTTCACATAGTAATTTGTAAGACTTATTAAATAATCGAAATCTGAACACATAAAATAAATAAAATTCATATCATGGTTTAGTAAAGGCCGATCTTTTGATCGGGTGAGTGGGGATGCTCAATTAATGACCTTCCCCTCTAATGCTTAAGGTTCCGAATCGAGACAACTTAGGTTATGACGAACAATGGACATGGCATGAGTCATGGGTGTAATAACCCGACTCTCTCATATGTTATAATTCCCTCATTATATGTGTGTTTATGTGGTTAATGTGAAATTCCATGTTTCAGTTTGTGAATTACATGTATATCAATTGTATTTGTCGATTATCACAAAAATCTGTTGAAATTGTGATCTTTGGACAGAAAATTGAAAGTCTTAGAGACGCGATAAGCCGAAATTGATTTTACAGTTATGATCATCATGATTTTTAGGACATTATATGAAGTTTTGTAAAAATTTGATTCATAATGAATTAATTAGCTGTATTTGGCTAAAACTCCTAGAGTTAACACATTGAAACTAAAATTAACGACTTCAATGAGTTCAGAAACCAAAACTGAGTACATGTATATGCTAATGGGAATTTTCAGAGCCATTCGGGCAGTTTAATTGAAAATTGATTTCGTCTGATTCGTTAAGTTATTTTTGGTTGGCCTATATAGATACGTATGACTTGTTATGTAGTTGAGGTCATCCTTAGTCTTTTAAGAGACAAAAACGTGGAGAGAGATAGAGAGAGAGAGAGAGAGAGAGAGAGAGAGAGAATGAGAAGAAGAAGAGAAAAGAGACAAAAGAAGAGAATTCAATTTAAGTTTGGAGATTGGAAGAGAAACTTTAAGATTGGCTCAAGGTAAGTGTTAATCAACCCAAATACTCTCGATATTTCTTCAATTGCTTGGAATCAAGTCTTAAAATGAAGTTTCGTACATTTATATGAGTTAGGGTTTGGGGTTATCATCTCAACTTAACCAATTTCATGAAATTGAAGATGTAATCTTTGGATTTGGCTAATTTATGGGTTGATTCTTGTGTTTTGAGTTGTCTTGAGTTAGATTGTGGGTCATTTCTTTTTTATCTTTAATTTTTGGCATGTTTTGAACTCATTCATATATATGTATATATTTGTATAAATGTTTGTAAATATATATCATGAAAAGATGGAGAAGATGAGGGAATGTGGAAATTAGAGTTATATATAAGAAATTAAAATGAGTTATGATCCACTTGAGTTTAGGTTTCATGTTTGTTTTGATCATATGTCATGTTTTTGAAGTGAAGTTGCTTGAATTGAGCTTAGAAATGCATTTGGACAGCTTGATTTTGATGAATTTTTCGACCGCTCAAACAAAGCCCAGGACCACACATGCAGGGCCCATGGCCACACGTGCGGGGCTTACAGCCGCACGTCCGGAAACCAGGGGAAGCAATTTCGGTATTCTGAAATAAAAGCACGTGCGGGGCCGCACGTGTGGCGCACCTCTCTGCACGTGCAGTGAAGGACTTCCGCACGTGCAGGAATTGGGAAGAATCCTATCACTCTCT